CCTTTCGGGGGACGACGAGCATCTCTACGAGACAGCCCGTGGTGACAAGATTCATCTTTTCACCAACTGCAATGGGCTGAGCTCCGTCCCGCCGGATCAAATCCTGATCGGCTTTTCGCTGCCATTGCGCAGCAGATCCTCAGAACACCGAGTTCCTCTGGACCGGGTTCGCCTTTCAAGTGGCCACCGGCCGCATCGTGCGCCGGTACCACGGCCAACAGCGAGGTTGCCCATTCATGGAAGGGGCAACGATCCGACACAGGGTGTGTCTCCACTGCCGCAACGGGCATCAAAGCACCAAGCCCGGCAGTGCGGTGAACAACTCCCGCCAGTGGGTGCCTCCACCCTAAGGGGCCCCTAGCGGGTAGCACCGCAGGGCGAGCCTTTCGGCTGCCAGCCCTGTGCGCGGGACGCTCCGCCCTACCAGGGGCGTCTCACCCTCCGACTGCGGGATGCCCCGCGGGAGGCTCTCTCAAACCCCTACCTCTAAGGGGGGTGCGAGATTTTTGTAGGCTACACTAGGAAACCTAGGTAAGTAGCTGTACAGTCTAGAGAGAAGAGGGTTTGAGCTAAAGGGCTTTAACCTGACTGCGACTCACCGCAGCCCTCTTTTGCAGAGTGAAAATAGTGAGCCCAATACGCGACCCAACCTCCGCGCAGAATGGGCAACGCAGCAAGGCACTGCAGAAACTGGCCTGGGTCGTCGGGGTCAACGGGGATCAACTCGAGCATGAGTTCCAGCATCATGAAGCACTGGCATTGAAGTTGGCCCACACGGGTGGTCCCAATAGCTTCGAGGCGTGGAAGCAAGCTGTGGAGAAGAAAAGGGGTAGCCGGCCGGAGGCTTTGATTGCAATCCTTGCTCGCAGCGCTGGCTGGTCTGCTTCGTCCAGCACTGTGGAGCGTGGCTTCGCTCATGCCAAGGCTTTGAAGGGCGATGGCAAGAGTCAAGACAACAATCTTGAAGATGAACAAGACTGCGTAGTCATCGCTCAGGATGTGAGACCTGGCCTGTCAGACTCGGCCGAGAAGAGTTTGCTTCTATCCGCGGGGGCATTGTGGCGATCGTATTGCGGCCGCACTCGCTTGAGTGGCGAAGCTCGACAGCAACGTTGGGATGCTGGCATTCCACGGCGCCTGGTCAATACTTGCATGGGTGGGTCTTAGGTCTTTGTGTTGAAGGGAATCATTGTGGCTCGGCGTTGTTGTTTGTGGGGTTTCGGATTTACCAGGTGAGGGTTTACCGGTAAATATTATGGCAGGGTTTCATAGGTTTAACTTAGAATTAGGACTTTAGGGATTTCAGGGGTTTCTACAGCAGGTTTGTCCTAGCAGTGGTTTCGATGTGAATTGAAAAGTAGGGCGGCTCGGTTACACAGGGTTGAAGGCTTTGGGTTTCAGGGCTGCAGGTTTCTAACAATAGGATATCGGGGAGATGAGTTCCGGTTCGGGTGTCCTCGAAATCGCCCGTATCCCGTGGAAATGACCTTTTGGAGCTATAATGTAGTAACTAAGCAAATCCACGGATGTTTGTTGGCAAGTGCCAACTGTGTGAGGCCGCATCGCACAAAGGAGGCAAGCGAGAGTGGGTTTTTGCGAGCAAGGGCCGCAATCGTCGACAAGGTCAGTAGTACGGATCCAGGGCCCATGGCGAAGTTGCCGAAGACCGTTACATCTGCTGACAGCATCATTGCAGCCTTGACGCCGGATCTTCTGGCAGAGATTGATTTCAATGAGGTGAAAGCAGCGAAGGCCAAAGTGGAAGCCTATTCGCAAGGCCAACTTTTGCCTGCATGATTACGCCAGAACTCGTGGACCAGTCCACTGCTTTCCTTCAGAAGATTGCCAAGGCACAACGCGAGCGCAACAACAAGGACACTAACACGAAGTCCAAAGTTCTGAAGGAAGAGGCCGGGCAAGCCGTTGGACCATGTTTTGAAGACACACACACACACACAGAGACGCATGCGCACACATGATATACGTACATATACATACAATATACATATACATATACATATACATATACATATACATATACATATACATATTATACATGTACATGTACATATACGTATACGTATACGTATACGTATACATATACATATACATATACATACATTCATACATCCGCGCGTGTGTGTGTGTGTGTGTGTGTTTGTGTTGTGTGTGTGTGTTTGGGCAGGCAAGGGGGGGGGCCCTAGCTATATAATTTGTATGATTTGGCAGGCTCCCTGGGACTCGAACGTGACAGTGTTCTGCACTGTTGCTGGCTACCGTGTGCCACACCACTCCAGGGAAGTCACCACCATGACGCAGGCTCAGATCATTGTGGTGCAAGACCCAGCCAACACAGCGGATCACCCCAGGTTCGTTGCCGGCCTGTTCGGGGCCATGCTTTGCACACCGGAGTATGTGAACAGCAAAGGCTCCTGCGGATCATGTTTGGCTTTTCGCAGGGCCACAAGCATCCACCGAAAAGTCTTCATCACAGATTCTTTTATGGGGGAAAATTTGGGGATTGCTCAAGATCTCGGCTCTGCCTTGTCAATGGACAACTGCAAATGGCAACTGCAGGGCAACAGTCCTGCAGAGAGGAATCTTCAGACTACCTTGATCTTCCGCGGTTCTGGGGAGGCACAGCCGTGACATGCGCCCGAAATTCCAAAGTTGTCCTGTGGCCTGCCGTGCCAGGCATTCCCAGGGGCGAAGCTGGCCTTGAACCTGAGCGAGGCGTTGCAGCATTACACGTGCTGTTTCGTTCTGAGAGGTCTGTGCCGAACGGGAGTCTGTCCTGGCTACTGAGCAGCCAGAGGCGCAATCGTCAGTTGTCAGTTTTTCCCGAAAGCATCGCGAAGGGTTCTTCCGGGCGGAGCCGCCCAGATGAGTACATAGATGACAGACATAGAACTTACTTGACTGTATGCTATACTGACTTACTTACTTACTGATTGACTCACTGACTTACTTACTTACCTAACTTACTTAGTGACTTACTTGTCTTACTGACTTACTTGCTGACTTACTTACTGAACTTACTTAACTTACACACTTAACTTACACACTTAACTTACTTACTTAACTTACTTACTTAACTTACTTGTTGACTTTACTTTACTTTTGGCTTACTTACGATACTTACTTACTTACGACTTACTTTTACTTACTAACTTTACTTACTTTACTTACTAACTTATACTTACACTAACTTGACTTACTAACTTATACTTACTAACCTACTAACTTACTAATACTCTAATACTCTAACTTACTAACTTACTTAAAATAATAATAATTACTCTTTTAAAGCCGGGGGGTGGGACCGTCAGCGTCCATCGGGAATGCAACCCTTCACAGGGATTCGCCTCCTCGGGCGTTCAAACGCGAGGTAAAGTTACACATTTTAGGCGCGCGGGTGAACCCTTCACAGGGATTCGCGTCCTGGGGTGTTCAAACGCGAGGTAAAGTTACACATTTTTTAACTTAATAGGCGCCTGGCGCAACCCTTCACAGGGATTCGCCTCCTCGGGCGTTCAAACGCGAGGTAAAGTTACACACTTTAGGGTTCCGGCGCAACCATTCACAGGGATTCGCCTCCTCGGGCGTTCAAACGCGAGGTAAAGTTACACACTTTAGGGTTCCGGCGCAACCCTTCACAGGGATTCGCCTCCTCGGGCGTTGAAACGCGAGGTAAAGTTACACATTTTAGGGTTCCGCGCAACCCTTCACAAGGATTCGCTTTTCGGGCGTTCAATTGCGAGGTAAAGTTACACCTTGTGCGGGCGCCGCGCAACCCTTCACAGGGATTCGCTTCCTCGGGCGTTCAAACGCGAGGTAAAGTTACACATTTTGCGGGCGCCGCGCAACCCTTCACAGGGTTTGGGTGCAGTTCATTTTTTTTTGCAACCCTTCACAGGGATTGGCATTTTGCAACCCTTCACAGGGATTGGCGTGGTCGAATGCACGAACGCGAGGTAAAGTTGCATTTTTTGACGAGCATTGAGATGATTATTTTATGTGCATTGAGATGAATTGGCAACCCTTCACAGGGATTGGCATGGTCGAATGCACGAACGCGAGGTAAAGTTGCATTTTTTTATGTGCATTGAGATGAATTTTGCAACCCTTCACAGGGATTGGCGTGGTCGAGTGTTCGAACGCGAGGTAAAGTTGCATTTTTTGATGTGCATTGAGCTGAATTTTGCAACCCTTCACAGGGATTGGCGTGGTGGAGTGTTCGAACGCGAGGTAAAGTTGCAATTTTTGATGAGCATTGAGATGAATTTTGCAACCCCTCACAGGGATTGGCGTGGTCGAGTGTTCGAACGCGAGGTAAAGTTGCAATTTTTGATGAGCATTGAAATGAATTTTGCAACCCTTCACACAGATTGGCGTTGTCGAGTGTTCGAGCGCGAGGTGAAGTCACACATTTTGGTGCATGGTACATAGATGACTCCATGACTCTGTGACTCTATCTCACTATGACTCTATGACGCTATCTCACTGTAACTCTATGACTTTATGACTCATGACTCATGGACTCTATGACCCTTGACTGTATCTGCATCTCGAGGTCCAGGTCAGGCTATGAGCCCTCACGCTATGGGGATCTCGATTAGGCGTTCCCACACATAGAGCATAGAGTGAACTACATCGAGTCAAGTGCCCGCGCCGCTTCCTGGCCGACGACTTCTGCAGGCTTGGAAGCGAGATTATTTTGGCATGTACCACATACTCCATTCTTGTGACAGCATTTGCGTTCTGGATGATGGTCCATGTCAGCTTGTGTTGCAGCGAGGCGTCGGAGTCGTCGCCAGGGGTGAAGTTGCACATTTTGCGGTGCCCGCGGAAGCCGTCACAGGGATTGGCTTGAGAGGGATTTGCCTCTTGGAGTGTTCCAAGCGGTAGGTGTGCAACAGGTCAAGTGGCAACTTGTCAGAGGGATTGGCAAAGGCATAATATATGGATAATATACATATAAATATATATATGTATATATATATATATATATATATACATATTATACATATATATATATATATATATACATCTATGTACTATGTATATGTGTCCATTTATATACATACTATATATATATATATAGATAGACAGTATAGATAGATAGATATATTAATAATATATTATATCTTCCATTCATATCTATATATATATATATATATGTATAATATGTATATATATATATACATTGCTGGAATATGTATATATATATATATGTATATATATATATATATAGAGAGAGAGAGAGAGAGAGAGAGAGAGAGAGAGAGAGAGAGAGAGAGAGAGAGAGAGAGAGAGAGAGAGAGAGAGAGAGAGAGAGAGAGAGAGAGGAAGAGAGAGAGAGAGAGAGAGAGAGAGAGAGCGCTTGTACGGCGCGAAAACGCTGTCGTGCGACGGCGCACCGCGCCGCTTCCTGGCCGACGACTTCTGCAGGCTCGGAAGCGAGATTATTTTGGCATGTACCACTTACTCCATTATTGTGACAGCATTTGCGTTCCGGATGATGGTCCATGTCAGCTTCTGTTGCAGCGAGGCGTCGGAGTCGTCGCCAGGTGGGATGTTTTGTGCTTTGAAGTGAAGTATAGCTGTCAGGCCGATGAACCGGCGTCGCAGCAAAAGCTGCGGGAGCTGCGCGCTCTGCAGGCTCGGAAGCGAGATATTTTTTTTGCATATGCCACATACATCTTTCTATACTGGTGTCTGTTGTTTGCCTGCCTCGTCTGGCTCGAAAGATTCTGCACACATTGCAGCATCTTGCTACACCTAGTACGCTTCCTTGCCTGCCTCGACGCTGTCTTGCGAAAGGGCCGGTGTGGAGATCATTCTCATCTTATCAGCTGACTATACTTATATAGGACAGTTGTTTGCCCGCCTCGACGCTGTCTTGCGAAAGGGCCGGTGTGGACGCCTTTTTCCATCCCATGGATTCGCGGCTGCAGCAGTTGCGCGCGGGTTGTGCCGAGCAGGGCGAAGACTGGCTCCGCGCCGAGCTGGACAAGCAAAACAGGCAGGACCTGCGTGGGCTCTGTGTCGCTGCGTCTGTGCAACAGAAGTGTGCCGGGCGCACGCGTACCAACGCTCTATCACAGAGCATTGCCGGGGAGCAGGCTTCATGGGGAAATCGGCATTTTTGAGGGTTGTCCATGTCAGCTTCGGTTGCAGCGAGGCGTCAGTGTCGTCGTCGGGTGGGATGTTTTGTGCTTTGAAGTGAAGTAGTTCTTGCTGTCAGGCCGATGAACGTCAGGCCGATGAACGGGCGTTGCAGCAAAAGCTGCAGGAGCTGCGCGCGCGTTATGCCGAGCAGGGCGCAGGCTGGCTCCAGGCCGAGCTGGAGAATCAGAGCAAGGAGGAGCTGGCTGGGCTCTGTGTCGCTGCGGGTGTGCAACAGAAGTGTGCCGGGCGCAAGCGTACCAGAGCGGAGCTGCAGGAGGCTCTATCACAGAGCATTGCCGGGGAGCAGGCTTCATGGGGCATCGGGGTTTTTGAGGGTTGTCCATGTCAGCTTCGGTTGCAGCGAGGCGTCAGTGTCGTCGTCGGGTGGGATGTTTTGTGCTTTGAAGTGAAGTAGTTCTTGCTGTCAGTCCGATGAACGGCAGGCCTATGAAACGGCCGTTGCAGCAAAAAGCTGCAGGAGCTTCGCTCGCGTTCAAATGCCGATCAGGGCGCAGCTGTCTCCGGCCCTAGCTGGATGAATCAGGCACGGAGGACTGGCGAGCTCGGTGTTCGCGCGGGTGTGCAACCAAAGTTGGCCGGGCGCAAGCGTACCAGAGCGGAGCTGCAGGAGGCTCTATCACAGAGCATTGCCGGGGAGCAGGCTTCATGGGGCATCGGCGTTTTTGAGGGTTGTCCATGTCAGCTTCGGTTGCAGGGAGGCGTCAGTGTCGTCGTCGGGTGGGATGTTTTTTTCCTTTGAGTTTAAGTTTCTTGCTTGTCAGGCCTATACCGTCAGCCGATGAACGGGCGTCTGCAGCAAAAGCTGCAAGTAGCGCGCGCCGCGTTATGCCGAGCAAGGCGCTGCCGTCTCCATGCCGAGCTGGAGTGTCAGAGCAAGGAGGGCTTGCCTGGGCCCCCGGCTCTGTGTCGCTGCGGGTGTGCAACAGAAGTGTGCCGGGCGCAAGCGTACCAGAGCGGAGCTGCAGGATGCTCTATCACAGAGCATTGCCGGGGAGCAGGCTTCATGGGGCATCGGCGTTTTTGAGGGTTGTCCATGTCAGCTTCGGTTGCAGCGAGGCGTCAGTGTCGTCGTCGGGTGGGATGTTTTGTGCTTTGAAGTGAAGTAGTTCTTGCTGTCAGGCCGATGAACGTCAGGCCGATGAACCGGCGTTGCAGCAAAAGCTGCAGTTGCAGGAGCTGCGCGCGCGTTATGCCGAGCAGGGCGCAGGCTGGCTCCAGGCCGAGCTGGAGAATCAGAGCAGGGAGGAGCTGGCTGGGCTCTGTGTCGCTGCGGGTGTGCAACAGAAGTGTGCCGGGCGCAAGCGTACCAGAGCGGAGCTGCAGGATGCTCTATCACAGAGCATTGCCGGGGAGCAGGCTTCATGGGGAATCGGGGTTTTTGAGGGTTGTCCATGTCAGCTTCGGTTGCAGCGAGGCGTCAGTGTCGTCGTCGGGTGGGATGGTTTGTGCTTTGAAGT